TTTTGTGTCACCATATTAGATGACATAATTTTTCACAACGAAAATACCTATCATAAGGATCTTCAACTGGAAGCTCACCCATGCATATATTTTCAGTACGTGATTAATGTGATTGAAGAGTCCACATGAATTTTCATATTTTTAAGCCTCTTGAAGGCAAGTGATTTTTGTATTCTCACTGCACTTATATGTTGGGTAGTGAGTGGTGTACTACTATAGACCTCAAATGCTGGAGGCAGGAGTGTGACAGAAAAGGGAGGGAACTGTGATAGTGCCCTTGTGTGCAATGAGGCACCTGGCTCTTCACGCCCATCTCAAATCTCTGCTGTGCTGATTACAAGAAACAATGTAGATAAGGGTGTTTCTTACTTCCTGGTGGGTAACAAGTACGTAATACCTTTTTTGAACAGTTGTTTAAACAGTGCCTACATGTACCGCGTGCTGTCCTAGGTGTTGGGAATTCCAAATCGAACAAAACTAAGTCCTTGCTCTCAGGGAGCTTACGGGTGTGTGTGTGTGTGTGTGTGTGTGTGTGTGTGTGTGTCAGACAAACTTAACCGTAGAATGTGTCAGGTGGAAATAAATGCTATTTAAAGAATTAAAAGGGGGGTAACAGACAGTACAGTGTGTGTGTGTGCACGCACTGATGAGGGAAACCTTCTCCCAAGAGTTGACAAAGGGTGGGAGTCAGGCTTGCTAGACTGCAGGGAAAACTGCAAGGAGAAGAAACATCTAGAATGCAGCCCAACAAACTCAGGAAGGGTATTTTACTTCCCATTTTTCTTAAGAGATCCAGATAGAAAAAACCTACTTCGGGAAGGGGCCTTGGCATAATCTCCTTGAGCATTTTCACCCTAGAATTAGTCAGGAACACTCCAAGCATGTTTACTAGATACCCACTGTGTCCACTGCTTTGCCTGTTTCAGGATGGGGGATTGGAGGGAATTTCAGGGCTAGAGGGGTGAACATAAGGTCAGCGAGGCAGCAGTGGGTCAGAGCACATGGGCTGGTAGGCCTTGTGGTAGGACTTGGGGTTTTTCATGGGAGAGGGGAAGCCATCAAAGAACTGTGAGCAGAGAGATGAAATGCCCCATGTGAATTTGAAAAGGTATTACATAATAACTGTTGCCAAACGCTGTAGCCATGAGGGATTTAATATGGGAGAAATGAAGAGTGCCTATCGTGGTTCTTTAATTCTGATCTGGTTCACCTAGTATACATACCCGGTACTTATACCTATTATATGGTATTCCAGTTTCTATGGGTCAAAAATGGTCGGACACTGTGAAAAGGTTCAATGTGACTTATTGGATAGGGTCAGTAGGAGGGCAAAGAACATGGGCTTTCAGTAAAAAATAAGTGGATTTGAATCCCAGACCTAGGATTCATGTGCTCAAGTCTTGCACCAGTTACTTAGCCTCCTTTTCCTTGGTTTCCCCGTATGTAAAACGGGGTAACAGCATAACCTAAGCCACAAAGTGAAGATTAAATGGTACACATGTAAAGCATTTAGCACAGGACCTAGTATGCGTTTAATACGGAAGTGAACTGATTAAGAAGGGGGACTGAATATTTTACACTAGCAGATCAAAGAAATAATTTACTACCCAAACCCTTTCAAACTATTTATCATTTTGCTAGGTATTGAACAAGCACACCTTACTTCAGTTTTAAAAGAGAAAACAGCTTTTTGATAAAATTACTATTTCTTGCATTTTTACAACTCATCCTTTAAATAATTAGTACGCAAATATTGTATGGCTCTACAGCGATGGATGTTGGATAACTTAAAATATTTGAGTTAAACGTTTTTAACTTGGTCCACCATGGCCATTGCATTTCCTCTATCAAAGTAACTTAATTTTAAAAACAAACTCACTGTGTTCTTCAAATTAACAGGCCAGAAGTTACTTGTCACTCTAAGAGAATTTATTTGAAATTCACTTTGTTGCTTCAATGCAACTCAATCTTAAGAGTTCCTAAGAATTTGTTTGAAGCAAAAATTTACCCCAAACCCCCCACTTAAAACACAGAAGACAAGATTATCAGAAAATTTCAGGTACGGGTAACTCTCACAATGGTCAGTTTCATAGCAAATAGTTTAATCTAAATTATTAATTCAACATGTCATAAAATGCAGATTAGTGACTGATCACATTGCATAAACCAAAGAGAACTACATTGTAGCTCGGAAAATTCTTTCCTAAACTAACTCAAACATTTCAAATCCATCACACTGCAAGGAAAAGCCTCTTGCCCATTGCATGGCAATTTTTGCAAGTTTGCAAATAGAATGTTGACGTTCACTTTTCAAACTCAAACTAGGTATATGCTCTTTATTTCATTTCTTGACTGTGGCTGCATTTTATTACTGGATACCGCTGCCATCACGAAGCAGAACATTGCAAACGCCATTCCGGATCCCCAGAATTGCCAACACCGCAGAGCTCCTTCCTAACCGTTGCTGGCTCTCGGAATAACGGAATGCGGCAACAAAGCACACCCTGTCCCCAGAGGCGCGCCCGCCGCTCGGACAGGTCGCTGCGCGGGCAGCGGCAACGCCGTCGGGGCAACAAGGGACGCCTACACTGGACCCGCCGCTCCTCAGGCTCCTTCCCGCCGCGCGGCTCTCGAAACCGAAGAGGACCGCGGGGACACCAAGGAGTCGTCGTGCGGTCCTCTCAACCACACAACGGAAGTCGGAGCCCACCGCGAACAGGTCCCGCGGAGGCGGCCCGGGGCTGCACAAACATTATAGCCGGGGCCTGGGAGCAAAGACCCTCCCCCCTCTGCTTCCCATCCCCGTCCCGGCCGCTTGGGGCCCGACGGGCCCCACCCCCCCGCGCCCCGCGCTGTGGGCCCTACACCAGGGTCCGCACACCCCTATCCCCCCGGGCGCGCCCCCTCCCCGGCCCCGCCCCACGCAGGCGCGCGGCAAGCCCCTCCCATCCCCCCACTGCTCTCGGAATCGGGCGGGGGCGGGGCGACCCTCGGAAGGGGCGTGGCCGTAGGCCTCGACACGCGCACGCGCTCTTGCACCTTACGGCTACGTGTCGGGACACGTGACGCCCACCCCGAAAGTCCCCCGTGAAGCAACAGGACGTTAAAAAAAAAAAAAATTGGGGGGTGGGGTGGCGGAGAGGAGGCATGAGAGCTTCTTAGAAAACTATAGTAACGGGAGGAGGGGACTGGGCCGGGCGGCGACGAGCGCAGTCGCGGCGCGTCCTGCTGGGAACCCCTCTCCCCTAACGCCACAGCCCGCCAGCGCCCGCCAGACGAGCCGGCCC